CTCAAATAAATAAACGTGGGAAACATAATACATTGAGTGATGAAAAGTCTCAATACCATCCATCTTTTATAACCATTAAAGATAGATTATCAACCATGAACAACCGGGCCAACTTGAGTTACAAGTTCCCCATGGTAGGTTAGTCAGCTCAGGCAAGACATTCCCCAGGAAATGACATCCCCCTTTGCTTCCATTCATTCTTCTTCTTCTTCTTTTTTTTTAAGTCCAAAGATAAAGTAGGTCTAAAGAGCATGGATCTTAACTACAGTTTGTAAAAGCTGACATCTCCAAGGACAAAAATCAGAGGACTCAATGTGCCTAGTCAGAAAATAGCAAGCTTAGTGTTTAAAAATAAACTCAGATGTGGAAAGTTGCACCAGCACCGTACAGGATTGGGAAACAAGGTGAGGAATCAGTTACTGCTTGGAGAAAGTGCTTAAACATTCCCTTGCAAGCCGCTCATTTGATTCAGTGGGCATGGAGGAAACCCAGGTTGGCTTAGAAAATAGGCAGGTTGTGGTCACGATCCAGTCAGGTCACTGCTAGTGCCCAGCACATGAGCCCTTGGTTTCCCTTCTGCACTCCACACCCTTTCCTTCAATTAAGTAGGCTCCTTGTCTCGGCACCCCGTGCAAGCCCCTGATTCTGCACTACCTATTGCATTCTCCTGTCGGCCAGATAACCCCCTTCGCTTCTCTAATCAGCCTGTGTTTTTTTTCGAAAACTGCCGTCTATCTCATTTCGTGCAGGAAAAGGAGCTTGATTAAGGTCAAGGCGAAGGTCTGCGACACCCACAGGAAATATAATCTCTCCCTCTATTATTTCAGATATAACTATAAAAAAAAGTCACCCCCTCAAAAAAACCCCGTCACGCAAACATATAAATGCACATGTCTAGACACTTGGAAGAAATGTGCATTCTGAACCCAGTTGTTTCTTTTAATATTTTCTGAGAGCCTGGCACCAATTTCCAGGTATTCCGAAGAGATCATTTAAGACCTTAATAAATGAACTGAAAAGGAAGGCTGAAGAAAAAGTGAAAAGAAAAATCAACCCCCGTGGAAGTGATGAATTCAGTTACTCATGCAACAATGTTAGCAAGCTATTTTCTGTCACTGAGGTTGGCCAGTCCACCGCGTGATGGTTAGAAGTAAGTGCACGAGCGATAGGGAATGGGTAAGTAGAAAAAAGTCATCCGAGGCCAAAGGAAAACTGATAAGCAGTAAAGGTAAAGCCTCAAAGCCCCATAACATAGCCAGCCCCCACCCCCGCACCCCCCCCAACAATAACAACAGAAAAGACTTTCCAAAGGAAGTGGTGGAAGAAACCCCATTGCTGGAGACATTGAAAACCAGATGGTCTAAAGCCCCAGCAGCTATTCACGCGGGATCCATCCTTCACTGAGGAAGCAAGGGGCCCTGGCGAGCATGATCCGTGTTTCCAGCCGCTCGCTTTGCGGCGCCATGGAAATCAAGAGAGCATTTCCTTGAACTTTTCCTTAATTTCTTAGCTCTCCCCTGTGCTCCCATAGCATTCTGTGTTGACTTCTGTTAGCGCTTGCCACAGAGTAATTCCCTGCTTACTTGCCGTCTCCTCTGCTAGCTCCAATTATTGCGAGCTTATCAGGCTTTCTCCCTGCCCCTGTGGAAGCTCTGGGTGCCCTGGGCTTTGCAGTGGCCCCTTTTGAACGGTTTTGCATTTGCTTCTGCCCACGCCCCAGGGGTTTCACAATTTTTAATGTTGAACTTCTTGGTTTGGGAATACCACACTTGAGGATAGCATAAATTTGGATCGCACATTGTGCAGGCTTGGAGTTTTGATTTCTTACAGGAAGCTCCACCCTCCCCCGCCTCTCACCACTAACCTTTCAGAACCTGGGAAAGACGAGGCGTACTCGCAGCAGCTGCCCCATCCCAGTGGAGGTTTCACTTCTTCTCTGCCTCTCGGACCTAGGGCTCAGGTCTCTTGAACATGAGAAAATATTGGGACACCAGTCTCAAGCCACCCTGCAGATAACTGCGCACCCCTTTGAGCACGTGGGGAAAGGCAGGTTTGTTTTAGTCTTGTTGGCCGTATTACTAGAAGTTACATTTCTAGTTGCAAGTAATCAATTCTTGCAAACATATCACAATAGAGACTTAGTGTAACCATAGGTGCCTGATTTACCAACTTTAATTCATGCCAACCTAAACCAGAGTTTGAGCTTAGGCAAGGTTCTGTGCTCCCAAACACAAAAGACCAAACCTGTTGCCACATGTCTTGACTTATCATGAGCCTGTAGACGGTTTCTGAAGCGGCACACGTTTCTGGGAATAGAGAGCTTCCGCTTTCTCTGGGGGCGAGGTTGGTGGCTTTGATCCCATGGCCTGGCTATTAGCAGTTCAACAGATGTGCTAAGTGTCAAACATGTTTTTCTCGCATACCGATGGACTTTATATGTTAAACATACATTTCTTTATCACAAGATTAAAGTTGTATTCAGTTGATGAAGGAAGACTTACAGAGCTGCCGAGCTTATGAATTAAGTAATCCTAAATGGCTGTGTATGGAAAGGATGGTGTTTGCATAGACAAAGAGTATCCCAAAAGTTTTATCAAGGTGAAGACTTACTTCTCCACCTCCAAATAGACACTTGGGTTTTCTAAGCAAGGCATAACACATATTTTCATTTGAACTCAGGCTACTGTGTTTACTTGAGAGAATATCTTGAAATGGGCTTAGCATTCCACGAAAATGAAATCTTTCTAATTTAAGCAACTTACTTTGTTTCCTGTGGGGATCAATCGTTTTCTCCCTCAGAAAGTCAAACCAATTTTACACTATTGATTTGCAAAATTTACATGATATAAACAGTATGCAACACAAGTTTGTTTGTTTTTAACACAAGTTGTTAAGAGAGAGAATATTATCTCAAAGAAACTTTTCACCTGAAGATTCACAAAAATCGCTCAAAGTAATTTTATTTGTGTCACGGCTTTTCACCGTTGGCTATATTTGTGACCGTTGACTTCATATTAAATATTAGCAATATTTTGTTTATGCTTGAATGTACTATCTATACAGGAATTTAGAGAGCCCTTGCAGTATGTAGTTGTGTTACACTTTGGGTTGCTAACTTCGGAGTCAGCAGTTCGAGCCCCCAAACAGCTCTGAGGGAGAAAGATGAAGCTTTCTGCTCCCATAAATATTGACACCCTTGGGAATTCCCAAAAGGCAGTTCTGTTTTGTCCTGTGGGGTCAGCTTGATGACCGTGAGTTACAGGCTCAGAACAGCCGTATGCGGGAAGAAGAAGGTGCTGCACTTACGGCCAGCTTTGAAGAAACATAGGTATTATCGATCTGCACAAAAGTTAGCTTACCAAAGGAGGAGCCATGCCAAGGGCTCAAGTAGAAAGAAAATGCTTTGAAAATGATGATGGCAACATATGTACAAATGTGTTTGACACAATGGATGGATGGTGATAAGAGCTGTAAGAGCCCCCAATAAAATGATTTTTTTTAAAAAGTTACCATTTTGGTGTCAAAATTTGGTACCAAGATTTTGAAATAAGTTTTACTTTACCATGAATCTTAGAAAATCACTGCTTTTGGAGGTTTAAAAAAACCCCTGAAATAATGGCAGTTTTATTTGCATCACACTAATAGAAACAAATGCAAGCCACCAGGTACAAGCTTTTAAGAAACCCTAGGTATTAATATAAATCAGGATGAAGATAATGAATGAGCTGTGGAGATAGTTAATCAATTAACTGGGAAGAATTACTGTTGGACTTTCAATGTTGGTAACCAAATTGAGCTTTATATTTTTTATTTTCAAAAACACTAGCACCATCATGAAAAAAAAAATCCATGTTTATTTCTTACAAATTAAGCCTAATTTGTAAACTTTCACATAATTTTGGTGACTTCTAGAGAGAAGCTGAATGAATAGTGTTGAATCTTGTAGGTTCTGAATGTGAGTGTGTGTGAACAATTTGTTTTGTGTGTGAGTGTACTTTTTAATACCTGAAAATACCCACGAGACGGGCTTCCGCGGAGCATGTGCTCGCTGGGTCATCGGTGCGGTGAGCACACATCGTCAGTGTTTAAACGGTGTGGAGTCCACTGTGGGCTGCCAAGAAGCATCTGGGAGCCAGACTCTTCCTGTGGACCCGGGCCAAGTAGGGTATCGTGTTTCCTCGCTAATGCAAGCTATATTGAGATCATTTGTCTTCTTGAGCTTTTTTTTAATCTAGAAATTAATTTAGAAAGCTAAAGAAAGGGATCATATGTTAAAACTGTGTATAACTGCCCAAATTCTACAATAATAGCTGGCTGATAACTACTTTTATTTAGCGACAGTAGAAATAAATAACTGATATGACTAAACTACATTCAGATAGTTAACATCTTTCTCCTAATTATGCTGTCCAGGAAAGTTCATATGTCATTTCGTATGTTCTCTTTAAACCGGTGATTTACTATGGACAATAAACTCAGAATGAACTTTTAATTAAGTACGATAGTGGGGCGTGCCATTAAATTTACATGTTTGATTGAATTATTTAATTAGATGGAAATAAAACTCGAAATTGTATTTTAATATACCCAATTATAGTTTAACATTTATTTTAACTAAAAATGTGAGGAAAAGTTGATAAAATGCCACATATAACAACAAAAAAAAAGTATCTTAAGCAGCTTTGATTTGGGCACGAGGAAACAGGCATGCTATGCTGGAGAACAAGCTGGGGTCCATTTTGGAGCCCAAACATTGGCTAAACCCTAGATCTCTGAGATGGCAAGGATTTGTCTTCCAGAATGGACGCATTGACTCCATTTACTCCCCTGAGACACTGTTGGGTGAGACCTCACGTAAATCAGATCTGGTTTGCACGCCCTGCGCGATAAAAATGCGCTGACTCTTTACAAAGAGCAGTCGTTGTCTTTATTTATGTTGGCCTTGTTTCTGGAACCCAAGTAAATGAAACTTTGCAATTGAGAGTTTAGGGAGCCCAAACTGAGCAAGTGTGTTGGGCTTTCAGCCCAAATTTTTATTCTTAGAGACTTTGAAAAGTATCAAATGCAACGCATCTGAACACCGAGACCTTCATCGGATGCTCTTTGTATGCCGAACTTGTTCTTCTTCCCTTGGCGAGTTCTCCCTTTGGGCAGCCCCTCCCTGTAGTGAAGGTGCTCTCTGAAACGTCAGTGGGTCGAATCCAGCAGATGCTCTCTGGAAGAAAGGTGTGGCAGACAGCTTCCAAAAAGATGACAACATGGGAAATCTTGCGGGGGGGTGGGGGGGGTGGGAGTAGAGGTGGGCACAGGCGCTGGCTGAAGCCCAGTCTCCTCCTCCTCCTCCGTGTTCCAGGAAGTCCTTGGGGGGGGGGGGGGTGGGGGTGGCGGGGGGCATTGCCATGCTGTCCTGTAAGGTCACTATGAGTTGGAATCAACAGCGATGGGCATTTTCTAAAGAAAGTTCCTAATTCTAGAAGATCCTGTCTTTTCCAGGCATTATGCTATATTTTATCATAAATATTGTAAAATTGCAGCAGAGAATTAAAAGTATCATTCTGAAAGTCTATAGATAAATGGGAATTTGTATTTTGAGAATGCCATTCTTTTGTATTATGTAGAATGCTTTAATTTGCGACATTTTTCATGTGCTACCACAGTCAAATGGGGTGAGAAATGATGCTGTCTTACTGCGGATGAATAAGTCTTAGCTGTTGGCCAGCACAGAAGTGCATGCTTCACGTCTGCATTTTCATTATACCAGTCTCTGGGAGGGAGGTGGTAGGAGACGGTTTCCGTTTGCAAGAAATATGTTAAGGACAAACCCTTTCTGTAGCCCTCACAGACAAGACTCTCTTTCTGTTTCCCAGCAGTGTAAACTATTTTCCTACGGAGTAATTTTTAAAACAATTAGCCAAGTTGTTTTGTCACTGAACAGTGTTTAAAAACTATTGTCAATTTGACATCAAGAATTGAACTGTGAATATTACCTTTCTCTTAAGTTTCATGTAATAGCAATAGGTTCAAATAGCTGTTTCATTAATTAAATAGCAGAGTCTGACACAGAGAGGTGCCCTGGTGGCACCACAAACCAAACTTGCTGCCCTCCGGGTGATTCTGACATAGAATGACCCCGTAGGTCAGGGTAGAACTGCCTCTGTGGGTTTGTGAAACGGTAACTCTTTACAGGAATAGAAAGCCTTGGCTTTCTTGTGGAGTGCCTGGTGGTTTTGAACTGATGGTCTTGAGTTGAACTTTGAATATTAACTTTCTCATAAACTGCATGTAATGGAAATGGGTCTGTTTCATTCATTCAATAACAGAGTCTTACACAGGAAGGATCCCTGGTAGCATAGTAGCTTATGCCTTGGGCTGCTAACTGCAAGGTCAGCAGTTTGAAACCACCAGCTGCTGTGAGGAAGAAAGAAGAGGCTTTCTCATTTTGGAAAGAATTACTTAATATAGTCTCAGAATATAGCCTTAGTAGAAGTCTCAGAAACTTAGTATAAATAGATGTGGTAGGCATCATGGTTGCGCCTTTAACTTCATTTTATCTTCACAATAATTCTACAAAGTATATTTTGTATTTACTGGTCTATGGATGAGAAAATTGAGGTTTAGAGAGTTGAATGAACTTGCCTGAGTTTGTGATATGAACTTCTGGAATACACATTTTGTTTACATTCCTGTCGTTTTATTAGCACGGTGGGTTAACCAGGAGGTTGCTAATCACAAGGTTGGCTGTTCAAATCCACAACTGCTCTATGGGAGAAAGATGAGGCTGTCTGCCCCATAAAGATTCATAGTCTCAGAAAGCCCCAGGAGCAGCTCTACTTTGTCCTACAGGCTCACTGTGAGTCAGAATCCACTTGGCAGCAGTGGGTTGGATTCTGGTTACTATTAAGTGAGGTATTATATGTTGAAACATGAAAAGAAAATATTTGAAGAGACAGTGTTCTAATTGTCTTACATGCACACACTTACTGGAAATTATTGGAAAAGGAAACACTCAGAAGGCATGGCTGTGGGTCAGTGGTTTGCAAAATGCATCCCTGCTGTCGCCATTATCAGCATCATCTGGGACCTTGTTGGAATGTGAATTCTTGAACTCACCCGGACCTACTCACTCAGGCATGACCCAGGCTTCCGTGGTTTAAGGAGGTCGCTAGGTGATTCTGGTGTAAGCCATGTTGAGGACTCAGCTCTTAAGTCATCAGGGTGTCACGATGTGTACAGGGATGCTTGAGATGGCTCATAATGTCTAGTCTCACACTGGGGACCAGAAGGAAGAACATATGGTGGTAATCGAAAAATTCAAGCAGCCTGTTATTTGATGAGGCCCTTATAAAAACCAAGCCCGCTTCCATTGAGGTGATTCCCATTCATAGTGACCCTGTGGGACTTTTGGGTTTGTAAGACTAAATTTTTATGGGACCAGACAGCCTCATTTTTATTCTGCAGAGCTACTGGTGGGTCTGAACTGCTGACTTGTTGGTTAGTAGTCGCTTGTGTAGCCCTACACCACCAGAGCTCCTTCAATGGTTGATAGATAGTGAATATTCTAATACTATGTGTTTGAGCCCTTCTGTTCTCTGGACTGAGGGGCCCTGGTAGAGGACGATGAGGCGGTCTGTTCCTGTTAAGATGTACAGCCTCTGAAACCTAACAAAGCAGTTCTGCTCTGTTACTAGGAGTTGAATGGTTGGAATGGATCCCTTGGGAATGGTGGGTGGGTCTTCCCAGGATTTAGGACTTCAAAACAGGTAGAGGAACCCATGGGTGGTACAAACAGATGCTGAAATGCCCTTAGCTATGAATGGAAAACTTGAGAGGATGGAATACACTCAGGCACCTTAAAAGAAAGCTCAAGAACCTATGGGGCGGGGAGGTGGGGTGAGGTGGAGGGGGTTGTGGACGACCTGATAGTAAAAAAAACTATTGAAAAAACTTAGGGCCTTGGTAGTTGGAATCAATTTATTCATAAGCCAGCGGTACCCATATGTTCCTGCCCTTGCCTTCTTTAAGGCTAGTTAGTCTTTCTGGTACTCGGCCACTGGGAATGTCTAACTAAGAGGCATGGTACTACGGATGGGAATGTCTAACTAAGAGGCATGGTACTACGGAGGGGAATGTCTAACTAAGAGGCATG